TTTTTTTTTTTTTTTTTTTTTCATACAACTATTACAACCAAACTGTGATATTGTACTGCAAATAGAATTGAAATTTATGAAGCACGCTGCTGCATTCACTGATCGAAACTGATGTTGCGATTTTGAAGCGCTTCCAACAACTTTGTTCTTTTTGCTGTTTTGCCTTAAGAAATAAGTATCAACCATCCTATCGATCAATGACAAGCAAACACATTTCGTGTAGCCCACCAGTAACAGTCACCATCTATATGTCGAGTTTTTCAACATCTCGTAAAATATATAAAGAATAGAATTTTCCGACAGAATATATAGGTATGTATGTTCTTTTATTGTTACATTTGATACGTCATATTTGCGAAACATTGAAAGAAGACCTGATAAGTAGAAGATATGAACTTTATTGGAAGAGATTCTTTCTTATTCTCCGATGTTCAAAAAGGTAGTAACTGCAAGTGGATAGACGGTAACAGCAACAAAGCTGGCACGATAAGTGTAACAATGGGTGAGTATGAATGAATGTAACAGGTATAGTAGTTCAGGAACAGAGGGCAGAGCACATGAAACTAACAACACATTTCCCAAAAAGATAATTATACGATACCCTGTCTTTGTATGTGTCTTCACACTCTTTCTGAAAACAAAGTGAATCATTGAACAGCTTTTGCATAATTGCATTCTAATACCCTAAGAAACTACTAATTTAGCCCATCATCTTTGAAAAATGTCTATTTATATTATTAAGAAAGAAACATTAATCACATAAACCAATTGATACTAAACCTTTGAACCTGCAACATTTCTCACAAATAAGGAAACATTCGCAACATTTAAAGATAAAAAAAAAATAATAATAATAATGGGCTCACATATATGTACATTGCCTTATGAATATAATTTCATACTTCGAAAATAAGTGGGAGATTAACATCGTTAACATGCTGTATAATATCAACTACTACAGAATTAACAGAGTATACTCCATAAGAATTGATCAGAAGGATAAACGATCAGATAGAATGAAATAAACTCTTAGCATGTACGTGAGTCCATATTTTGTTGGAAAAAACTTCAAATCAAGTTATGAGGTGTTTTACACCATCTTTAAAGGAAGAGGAATATGGATAACATACTTCTCGTATCGTGAGCGTATGCGACATCATCTGAATGTTGACTTGAGACTGACTCGTTGGCAGATTGTCTGTCGATCTTGATCTAGCCAATGATTTAGATCCCGTTAAAACGCTTCTACTTTTTAGAGCCATTTCTGTGCGTAAAAATACCCTTGATATGTATGCTGAGCTGAGTCCACGTATTCCAAATGCGGTACGTAAAAATTTGGCTGGCGTTACCTACAAGTTTACATATATTATTAATGTTCAATGTTATTTATATACATTTATAGTAACGGTCAATTAAAGTAACATTTATTATATCATATTCTCAGATAAAATTAAAATAAACTACAACTCCTAATGATGAATTTATTCTATTTAGAAAATAGAAGTACCAAGAAAAAATTAATTAGCGTCAGTATCTCAAGTGATTCTGTACAATACAGATAGTGCATCGACGATCAATGTGTTAAAGAATTTTGTACACTTATTATTTACCGGCATTTGCCTGCAGAACTTCGAGAGAGCAGCGTCAATACCGTTCTTGGAAATTTCGTTCATCCATTCAGAGTTTTGTAGCGACGAATGCTTATAGAATAATAAAACTATAGCCATTGCAACTCGATAGAAAACCTGAAATAAATAGATAAGATAAATTAATACAAGCAAGGACACGCAGAATGATTTAAGTTCCACAAGCATGGATTACGAATCTCTGCACAACACGTTACAAAAAGACAATGTGCAAAGATGCACGTATCTAACTGATTTCTCATTGGCATACAGTCAACACTCGGATTTACTATTCATACTATTCCTGGAAAAACATTCTACGCATATACATATATCTTGAATTTTATCCTTGTCTTGAATCAAAGCCAATAATATTTTTTAGTGCGATAAAAGGAATATAAATGTCTCAAGTTGATCCCACTCGAATCTTGTAAATACCGACCTTAATGCCTTCGTGAAGAAAACAGTCCATAACCCTGACTAGATGTTGAAAAGGAAGAAGCTGCAGAATCCACCACATCCAATCCATGTAAATTCTTTCTGCTCTTGCTCCAGAACAGTGCCTCGCCAAATGTACCGCTGCTGATTTCTTCAATGAAAAAATTTCAATTCTATATATTCTTAAAAATAAACTGTATATTCAGTTTCAGCATATTGTAATCTTTACAAGTGACTGGCGAAAGATTTAATTTCAATTCTAATTTTTCATAGAGAATTGTATGAAACAGAAGCAATTAGTTCGATTTAAAAGAACAACAACACTTGTTAATTCGCTTTGTAGCTTTTTCTAATTCTGGATTTTTACACCCAGTAATCTGGGTGTAGAATTACAGTTATTCTTAATCCGTTCTAATCTGTTTAACGTAAAAATGATAACACAACTCAGTCAGAAGACCATCTAAAAAAGGAAGCTGAAGAGAGACGAATCTCCTGGTAAACATTGTATTTACAATGTGAAATAAGAATCATTTCAAGCCAAACAGGCGAGAACGGTTCGGGATCGTGATTCATCTTGCACTGAAAGTTAGTGTAGTACCCACCACATGCTTCTTAGTGATTTGCTCTACGGTTTTCCAGGTGACCTCGTAGAGAAGTTTTGTTTGCGTAATGAACATCTTGTCCTTAGCAGCGACCAAGCTGGCCATACAATGATAACACTCCTCCTCTGCAATAGACGGATGAGGGAAAATGGTAATCTCGTGAACATTTCTGATTTCGTTCTATTAATAAAGACTGGGATTCCATCCAACCGCCTGTCCAACATCTTAATTTATGCGAGCAAACAAGAAACCCGACTTACGGCACGCGATGTGTGAATTTTCATTGTGCGTGGTGGGAACGAATGGGAAGAAGGTTTCTTGGAAAGCTTCGCCCTTTCATCCTATGTACCCCAAATGGCTAGGTGGACGTCTTGTTTATTTATACATTTACCTGGCATAAAGTGAAGTAGGAGAACCGTGATGGGATAAAGAGAAGGGCTGTAAGTAATGTCAGGGCAAGCGTATCCCAGGACAGACACAACCCTGTCGGCAACGCTCCTGCCTTTCCTCGTCAGGTGGTACGACAGGCAATGAGTGCTGTCCACGAACGGTGGTAGCATGATTGATTTCTCCGGCAGCTCTGTAACAGGTAATTCCACACATCAATCGCCGTTGCTAAAAACAAAAAGTAAGTTTAGTCGAACCGAATGGGACGCCACCCATCTGATCTAATGAGGTTAGGATCGCGAATATGAAATACATTAGATGAGTAATTTTCAAGAGGAAATTGTGTGCTACGCGGATAATTCGTACAACATATACTATATAAATTTTGTCGTCTTTTCAACGTTAACGTATGCTGCACTGTTTCTATGTAGTGTGCGTTTGTAAAAATATACCCAATTTAGAAGGTTTAGGATCACTAGAAAAGTGATTGACTAAAAACTGAGTAAAGTAAAATTAATCCACTTTGAACGTT